TTTAAAGGTTTTTAACATCTTGTTTGTTGACATCTTGTGAGATTACTTTATGAGATCTTGACTAGAGTGCCAGATCTCCCACACTAATGGTGGGTGATCCTCCACTCTCACTGGAGGCTTGGCAGCCCTAGGTGCAACCCAGAAGTTATGTCATTTTATCAGGCAGTGCACTAGCATTCACCCAAAATTCTACAGTTTAAACCATAAAATCTGGGACAGATGCTAGAACGTTACCCCTACATGAGAATGAAATTTTATGGGTCATGATGGAAATGATGTCACTGGCAAGTCCCCACCATGCTGGTAACATTGGGCTGGCAACCCTAATCTTGACAGCCACTTTGGATTGCTTAGGCAACTGCCCAGATCACTAAGTTTGTCTGTGGATGCCTAGGCAGTCCAAAATAACTGCAGCAGTTTCATTTTGATACTTCAAGTCAGTTGCAGTTTTTATGATTTTGCTGTATTTTACTTAGTGAGTTGTCTGGAGCAGGTCTCTTGAAGAGGTGACAGATACGTTTTCTGAATAAATAATCCCCAATCTGCTGTGAAGCTCCCTGAATGACCTTTAGCCATCCACTCTCTCAGCCATAAAAAGGAGGAGGGGAGAGCTATATAGACCACTCTGAGCTCCGTGGAAGAGGTAACAAACATTTACATCATCCTGTGTTTCTTGGATGAAGAGTGGAATAAAAGTTTATCTGATAGAGAATGGCTTGCCTAAGGCCACTTAGTGAGTTTCTGACTATGGCTGCCAGCCAAATGCGAGAGAGGACATGGGGGCACCACTAGAGCAACAGTGTGATGTCACCTTCAGGTCTTCCATGGAAGTGACATCATGCCATTGTGCCAACAGTAATTTTTAAATTAAATTTAAATTAAATTTTCTCCCACCACCCAGTGGAACAGTAGTGGAAAGCAGGGGTTGCCAGCAAAGGTCTCCTACCATCGCATGATGCCTGGCACCCCTATTTTTTGATGGAAGTAGGATTTGAACCAAGGACCTTCTAGATCACAGCTATGCTGCATAGCTATACTATGTACTTGAAAGAAAAGTATACAATGTGTTATGGAAATCAGAGCTAATATGCTGCATAGCTATACTACATACACACACACACACATATATATATTCACTGTGTTAAGGAAATCAGGGCTACCCCAAACCATCACTTAAAGAAAATCATAATTTCTTGGGCTTTTTTTTTTTACTGTTGTCACATAGTTGGTTTTCTCACCCATTTCCTTAAAGACATTTGTGGCCCAAAGACATCATACCTGCACTACAAACTTCAAGGTTTTATTGTCATGGGTAACCTGGGGCCATCACAACATGCTTGATCTTTTTTGGTTAAATTCTATCTGCTACCCAGGCTTCAGTTTCTGCCGGAGCGCACTGGAGCACCGCTCCGCCAGTCAAGAGCCCAGGGGGCGGGTACATAAGCCCCACCCTCTGCTCCCACCAGCCATCAGTTGGGACATGGTGGCGGGGCGAAATGTTCCCCCGCCTCCCTGAGCCCCGGGGTGGTGGCCTTGGACTTGTAGGGGCAAATTCCACCTCTCATGCGAGAGGTCATTCTGGCTCCCCCAGCTCTCCTTAGGGGCTCTTTAAAAAGCTATGGCCACCGCCGCTGTTCTCGGTGGCAGCTGCGACACCTGGAGGAGGGTGGGGTGAAATGTTCTTCCAGCTCCCTGGTGGTGGCCTTGGACATGTAGGGGCAAATTCAACCTCTCCCGCGTGATGCGAGAGGTCATCACATGCGAGAGGTCATTTTGGCTCCCCCAGCTCTCCTTCAGGGCTCCTTAAAAAGTTATGGCCGCCATATGCCATCCATTGTTCTTTATGGTGGGAAAAAGTAACTTTTTCCCCACCATTGAGAACAATGGAGGGGATGGGGCAACCTGTTTGGGGGCCTTTAGGATTGGACCCCCTCGTTCAATGTTTCTGAAACATGGCGGGTATCTTGGGAAGAGGCTCCAGCAGCTACCCTGCGACTTTGGAGCCTCTCCCTCAAACCCCCTCTCCTCCAGCCCCCAGAATATACCTTATGTTTTTGCCATTGACTTCAACGGCCCATAGGATATAATGGGGCCGAACTGCAGGAAGTCGATTCAGATCAGAGAATCTGAATCGGCCCGCAGCAGCCTAAAAGGGGCCTGAATGGGCCATTTTGGGGGGGTGCATTCAGTTCAGACGAACCAAATGCACATCCCTCCAGCAGCCAGCTTGCTCGGGCTCTCTGCAGCCATGGGGATCCTGAGCAAGCCAAGGGAAGGGAAGATGATTTAAACCGCCTCTCCTTCCCTCCAGCAGCCGGCTTGCTCAGGCTCCCTGAGCAAACCAAGGGAAGGGAAGGTGGCGGAGCAGCTGGAGACACTGAGCCTCAGCTCCACAAGTAATGAGCACTCGAGCCCCGCCCCCAGCAGCCCTCAGGCCGGAGTACCTGGAGCAGTCCTGGGAGGCGGATTGGCAAAAAGCAAAACCAAAAGGGCAGGAACTTGAGAGAACTCCAGGAAGAAGCCTGTTCCTCTTCCACAGCCCAAAATGCGACCCACGAACCCTGAGCTTGCTTTTTCTCATTTGCGAGTCTGGCCTCTGCACTCCTTTAACGAGGCAGCCCTGAAGCTTGGGACAGTGGGAGTTTCTTTGCACGCAGCTTGTGCGGCTGGCTGAGTGCCTCTTCTGCTTGCCCACCTCTTGCCTCTGCACCTCATCTTCTGCCAGGCATGGAGGAGCCCAGCTCGCCCAGGCTTCTTGCCTCCTGCTGCCTTGGCCCTCTGGTGCAAGGGTGAGTCCCCAAAGTTTGACTCTTCCTCCACAAGTCTCTGGCACTGAAGGTATTCGCCTCCTTTCCTCCTGCCTGCTATGGCTGCATAATTGTGAGAGATTTCTTAACATAGTGTTCCTGCCAGGGAAGCTGGGGACCCTGCCCATGAGTCTCCATTTCATCCTCACAACAACCCTGTGGGGTAGGTTAGGTAGAGAAGGGGAGATTTGGCCCGGGGTCACTCAGCCAGCAGAGTGAGAATACAAACCTGGGTCTCCCCACATCAATCTGCAACTCTGACCACTGTGCAGTGCTGCCTCTACTGATCTGTAATGTTCCAGAGGTGTTGTAATGTAATACTCAGTTTCTCAAACGAGTGTATGCCTGTCTGTTGGTCCACTTAGGAGTCTTGATCCTGGTTGTGTGGTGGGCTAGTTGTGGCAAATGGTAGGGAAGCTCAGTATTTCTGTATACAGTTGTAGGGACTTTATTGCAATGTGCTATGGTCTGATATTATGTTCTTATTCCAGTGTGGGGTGTGTGTGGGGCAATGGAAGCTGAGTGATAGGATCTCTCCTAGTGATTGCCAGAAGTGAGATGCGTCCTGGTCTTGTGTCTTACAGATAATCTTACAAATAGTCCTTTGCATTTATATCATGCTTTCAACTTTAAAAGGATCATAATGCTGATTGTGTGAACTTAGGCAAATCACGAGAGGTAGAGCAGTAAGAGTTGCATCTGTGCTTAGTTCTTGTGGCCCTTTCTTACATGCCCAGGGAAATGCTGATCGCCACTTTGGGGCCAGGAAGCAATTTTTCTCCAGGCCAGTTTGGCCCCCAGTGATCCTGGAGGGTTTTTTTTATCATATTCTGGGCGTGGAACAGGGGTCACTAGGGTGTGTGGGGGGGTATTGGTGAATTTCCTGCATTGTGCAGGGGGTTGGACTAGATGACCCTGGAGGTCCCTTCCCACTCTATGAGTCTATGATTTTATAATTCACCCAGGCTGGCTGTGGGGACGCCAGCACCTCTGTCAGGCATTAGCGCCTGAGATCCTCCCCCTCCCCTTTTCCTTCGCCCGACTTGGAGGGGAAGGGAAGGGAGAGGGGGGAAAGAATGGATCCCAGGTGCTTCTGCCTGTCAGAGGGGCTGGTGCACACTTCCGGTGATGTCAGGGGGTGTGGCATATGCCAATAAGTTATGCTAATAAGCCCCTGCAGCTCTTTTTCTACGAAATGACCCCTGATTGTAAGTAATCTATTATTCCTTTTGGCCCAGGTGATACTATTGAACGAACCTGCATTTCTTTTTCCAAAAAGTTAATTTTTCTCCTTCCTTGTCTTTTTACCTTGAGTTAAATTGTGATGGACAAATTGCTCTTAACTTTACCAAAGTTTTCTCCCAGTTATAAACATGTAATTAAAGGACTGTTAAGATGAATGTCAAAGCAGAAGAAGGCCAATGGAGTAACAGTGATGTAATTAAAGATTTGACTGAGATGGAAGCTTCCCCCCCTCCCAGTGATCAGATGGAAAATAACTTTATTGATGTCCCAATGCACAAAGCTTCAAACACGTTTGCAATTCATTCCACATCACTTTCAAACATTGATTACTATAGGCTTTAGAAGCAATAATGAACTTTACACAGTTCGTATCAGTTGACTTTGAGCAAAGTCCATAGATTAATCCTTTTACTTTCAGGAACCAAAACTGACAATGATGCCTAGAGGAACAGACAAGAGCAACTGCACAAAAGCTAGAAGTACAGAATACAGCGTGGCAGCTATTGCCCTGGAGCCTCCATTCATTGCAATGGGACACGCATGAGAGAGTCACATTCCCCCCCCCTCCCGAAATGATGGCTTCTAATCAGAAAAGAATGCAGGAGCATTGCCCAGAATAATGATGATAAAAAAGACTCAGTCAGTCTCTATTGTAGTGAAAGAGTTTCTAAAAAATAACTTTGATTTCCCAGTGCTTCCCATATGTGATAATCCATTGCCACTGGTTTACTGGTAAGCATTTATATCAAGAAATACCCAAGTTTCCAATACATTTTAAAAATGTGTGCATATATAACTCTTAAAAATCTTGTATGTATAGAAAGCATTGCTTGAAAAGGGGAGATAAGACGAGTAAACTTGAAGATATGCCTGCAACTCCCAATGCACAGAAAGTCTAGCTTCTCCAGTCAAGGCTAACTAGCCTTACATAAATATGGGCTACAATACCTTTCTGTCTCCTGGTTGGTAGGCTGCTGTTTGTTGTTCTCAAAAGCTGTAAAACTGCTCATATCCACATAGCCGTCATTCTCATTAGCAGCAGATAATGCCCTGCTAGGATCTTCAAAAAATTCAGTAAAAGTTCCTGTCCTGGTAGGCCTTCGTGGAGGAATTTGTATATTTTCATAATCCGAGTTCATTGCTGGAATATTCTCATAGTCAGAAGTATCAGCATTAGGAAAGGATATAGACCTAGGCTTAGTTAATGGAAGGGGCATGAAAGGGGGCCTTGAACGGTCCTCAAAAGACTCCACCCTTGACACACTTCTGCTAAAGGTTTTGGGTGTCCCTTTTCTCTTGCCATCCTTGTAGAAGAGAACAGTTGGAGACTCAGAGGCCCTCAGCTTGCCAGTTCGTGATTTCAGCTGAGGTGAACTACTCAAACTCCTCCGGTCCAGTTCCATGACCCTGGAAGGTCCATGATAACTAGACTCCGAAGAGGATCTTGAAGAAGAAAGATGAACATCCACATGGACTTTATTTTCTGTCTTCTTCTTGAACTTCAGCGTGAGGAACTTTTTAAAAGAGGACTTCTTTTTCTTGCAGTATTTATCAGGAGAGTCACTCTCTATTAAAAGTGAAGGTGAGCTTTTAGTGATTGGCTTTTTGGTGATACAGGCTAGTTCGAAAGGAGGTGGTATATCAACAACTGAGGATGGGGTGGATACCCCACTGGATGGAAGGTGATTTCTCTGGGAAAAGCTGCCTGATGAAGCAATTACACAAGGCAAAGTGAGGTCTTCTGTCCTGTTTATTCTATTGTAATCCATTACAGAGGTATCAGTCTCTCTGTAAACAGAGACTGGGATGTCTTTGCCTTCTACTGAAAAAGATCGAGGGTATAAAATAAAGCGCCTTGGCTTTGCAGGTAATGCCCTATTCAGTTCCATAGGCTTTCCGTCCAACAAAGAGAAGGTATGGCTTAAGTCCTCAGACACCATGGGGGCTGTGCTCAAGGGTTGCGAATCAGTGTCTGGGCCTGTTTCTTCTGGAACTGTTTCCGGCACATATCCAGGTACTTTTCCAGAAAGTGACCTTGTTCTAGTAACAATGCTTTTCCGATCAATAGGGAACAAGTGGTTTTCAGGGTCCATACCCCCTCCCTCCCTAAAACCACTTGAAGCATCTTGAACGTCAGCCTCCCCCACTTCTTTTCTAACATCTGAAGGCAGGCTATCTCCCAATATATATGGGTTGTCTAGGGAGTCACTGGCTGTTTCTCCATCATCTTTATCGTAAGCAACCACCACTTCAGGAATTGCTGCAGATTCATCAATCACATATTCACTGCTTGCATTTGTTTCAGTTTTGCTACAATGGCATTCATTCGGTTCTTCTGTACCACAGCATGCATCTTCAACTGATGTTTCATTGGATGCATCTAGGGCAGTTTTCCCACCATCACTGTGCTCCACCTCATTCACTTGGTTTTGTGATTCTAGGTCTTCCAAAGCACTTTCAGTGCAATCTAACTTAGATTTTTCTGCCAGCAGTGACTCACTTTCCTGCCCACTAACATCCTGAAGAGCAAAAGGCTGACTGTCACTAGACATTTCACTCTCTTCTAATGGCAATTCTTCAGGAGAGTCAGGGGCATCCTCACTGCATTCCTTCTCAAAGGGAATAATCTGGCAGTTGTCATCTGTGGTCTCTGACTCCAGCACGTCATCATTTTGTTCTTCTGGGTCTTCTTTTGTATCACACACTGTATCTGTTGTTTCTTCCTCACTCTTCATCTCAGTGGTTTGGTTGCCATAATCTAGATGTTCTTCCAGTTCTATGCCTGTTTCACAGTCAGCATCAGGATCAATTTCCTCTTCTTTTCCAGCATCAGTTTCATTAGCGGTCCCTCCCAATGCCTCTTCTGTATTGGATTCAGGTCCATTAAGTTCTAGTGTAGTATCTGTTTCTTCAGAATCATCAGCAAGAATATTGGGACTTTCACAAACATCCTCTACAAGCTCCAACTCTATGTCCAAGGCTGATCCATCTCCATCATTATGCATGGCACCCATTTCCATGTCAACACTGGGTTGCTCGTCTTCCAAAGCCTGGAGTGAATCTTCTTCTCCCGGATCCTCACAAATTGGAAACAGGTCCTCTGAAGTGGGTGTTTGCTCCTTTAAATGCCTTAGAATAATATCTTCACATATAGTGTCCTTCAAAACTGCACCTCCATTCAAAATTTTATTATCCATATTATACTCATTATTTTCCTTTATCAGATCCAGTTCTCTAAGTGTTTCATCAGCCCCATCTGCACAGTGCATTTTGGCTACACTGGGACCGGTTTCATGGTCTACATTTTCACATCCAGCATCCTCTTTTAAATCTTCAGGGCTGTCAAGAGTTTGGATATCAGTTGGTTCCAATGAGACCTTGTCCATTGGTTCTGTGTTATATGAAGAATCATTGTTCTCTAATTCATTTAATTCAAGATCAGAGATCTTATTGTTGGTGCAGTTATCCTCTTCCTTACCTGCTGGTGCTCCTGGAGCATCTAAGACATTGTCCTCTGATTCCTGCAGTTGTTCAGAGTCAATATAGTCTTTGTCTGTCAATTCAGTTTCAGAATTTACAATATATTCATCTTCAGCTCCCGGTTCTGAGCACTCAGTGTTGCACTGATTTCCTTCGCAGAGCTGTCCTGCTGTACATATTAGTCTTCCATTGGTACATTTGTTAAAAGTATTGTTGGCATAAACACTGGATTGCTGTATAATCACAGGATCGTTGTCACTGGGGATTTTTGGCTTGGGTGCAATGGGTGGTTTTGGACCCCTAGACATAGAGTTTGAATTGTGAAGTGTACCAGACTTTGACAGTGATGGAGGAAATTTGGAAGCAAGATGACTGAGGATCTTTGGTTTTGGTGCTAGTGGTGGTTTTGTGAAATCTGTGAAATAAAGAAAAAGACTGCATTAGCAAGTTTCTATACTACTTCATGAAGTATCAGTTCACTATTGCCATGTAAAACACGAGGAGAACAAAGCAGACCAACTGATTAATTGGATTCAACCCCACTTCTGCTGGTGAAAGGTGGAGGGTTATTTCTCCCTGTTCTCCATTTCCATTATAGCACTCTGCAATACATCTCATGCTGCTCACAAGAGACCCCCAAACAGTTCTCTGAAGCCACTATCTGTAATTGTACCAGCTAGGCTTTGAGGTAGGCCTTTCACAACTCCAACCCATGAAACAGAATGCCCGTTTAACACAGGCTTGACAGTCTTGCAAGTGAGTTTTTAAGCCCCCTTCCCTGTATAAAATATGGCATTTCTAAGTGAAACACTCATAGTATATTAGATGTAATACATACTATAAGATTGGCTCTTTTGGCATTTTATTTTTTAAAAGTTAACCTTGAACAAGCAACATAAACATTTTCTTATCCGTTCATAAGCCCAACCTTTTCAGTTCAACAGCATGTACATTCACAATGACAGCAAACATAAGAAGAGCCCTGATGGATCACGCCAGTGTCCATCTAGTCCAACATACTCTTTCATACAGTGGCCACACAGTTGCCCAGTGGGGGCCAATAATCAGGGCTTGTAGGGTTGTCAGCCCCAGGTTGAGAAAAATCTAGAGATTTTGGCTATGGAGCCTGAGGATGGTGGGGTTTGGAAGGGGAGGGACTTCAGTGGGGTATTAATGCCACAGAGTCCACCTTCCAAAGTGGCCATTTTCTTCAGATGAACCGATCTCTGTCACCTGGAGATCAGTTGGCAACCCTAGCTTAGAGGGCAAGGCCTTCCTCTGATATTGCCTTCTAGCAATGTATTTCAGAGGATTATTGTCTCTGAATATGAAGGTTCTATTAATCACCAGCTCTTGTAGCCCCTGATGGGCTTCTCCTCTGTCTTTTAAAGCCCTTGGTGGCTACCAGTGCAGCCACTGGTGGCGAATTCATGATTTAAGTACTCGAATTAACTTAAGTGAATTAATTACTAATTAATCAAATTAAATCAACTAATTAACTTAAGTGAATTAATTACTAATTAATCAAATTAAATCAACTAATTGCAAAATGCAGATTCAAGGATATTACATTGTCAAGTCAATAAAGAGGCTTGGATGTCAATTTCCATTCAAGACTGGGCATGGTCCAGCCCTTTTATAAGTCTCATTGATTTCAGTGGCAGAATGAAACTTGTACTCTTTCCTAATAACACAGCGGGTCTTAAGAGTACCCCTCTCTGGCTGAATCAAGCTGCTTGCAAGGATGCATGCTTGTGGCCAAGACAAGGAGCTGTAATCAGTGTCAATCCAAGTTCACCTTCCCCAAATAATTCCTGCGGTTGTTTTGCTTGTTTTAAAGAGCAACACCATAAAGGGCAAGTCTCCTTGGCAAGCAGCTTTCTTTTGTTTTAAAGTCACTGTTAGTGCTCACAAAAGCCTTATGATTGATGGTCTTGGCAGCTATTGGCTCTGTTTTAGCTGCTGAAGAAGGAGGAATAGTCGTTTTCTCCACCACACCCCAGCTCAGGATATCACAACAAGACTTGCTCCGTTTCTGCTGGGGTGAGATACACAGGAGAACTCCCACTGCCCCAGCCTTGTTTATCCCAATGCTCCATTTGGGTTTCCCTTGCATCACTGTAATGCCATGTAAACAACAGTCCACTTTCTCAGCTTTTATTCAATGAAACATAACACAGAAGTCCACTGGCACCTTAAAGACTAGCGATTTCTCCCCCCCCCCCAGCATAAGCTGCCATGCATCAACTCTCACTTGTCAGTTGCACAGAGTGCGGAATCATTTTGCAGACACCTTTATAATCAAAATTATGAGCAGCGTGGATATTACAGCAAAAGACTAACATGGTATGACTGCCCTGTCCACTTCCCTCCTTCAGAGGCAAGATTTTCCCTCTGTTTTTCTTTCCCTTTACTGACTGAGCTGCACTATAATATGTTTTCTTCTTTGCTGGAGAACTTTGGCTGTCCCACCCAGTCACAGTATAATATTTTGGCTGTTTGCTCAGCCCAGGAACCTAAGGGAAGGATTGAGAGCCCACTTTAACTTTAATGGCACTCAAGACATTTTTATATTCCAAATTAACAAAATATTTTATTCAACATAGAGGGGAAAGTTCAGGTGAAATCAGGGGTTGAAATTTCTGAGGTAAAACCAGTACATGCACAGACTTTAGTTCTTGTGTTTCAGGTTAATGAGAGTTTCTTAAGCTATTCAGAGTTACTTAAAATCTTTATGTTGAGAGGCATTTGTTTTAGTGTTTTCCCAAACACTCCAGTATACTTTCTTTGAGTATTCTCTGACTCTTTTGGTTTCCAGAAGGCTGATGCAGTCTTTCCAGTACCCAAACTCCTTCTCTTGAAACACCAGTACTTGTCTTGAGTTTTAAACTGACTCTTAAGGTCTCCACAGGCAGTTTCTAACCACACCAGGCCAGGAATCTCTTCACGCTTCAGAGCCAACTCCCTGTTTGACTGGGTTAGGAAATTCTCCTCTCACTAGAAGATCTATCAGTTTTCTTTGGCCTGAATGGGAGTCTTCGCCTACTTCCCAAACTCCCTTGCCAACTTCCCCCCATTTCTCCTGTCTGTGTTACTGCTCTCAGTCTAGGCTGAATTCCGAAACTGCCAGTATTCTTCTCAGCTAGGGCTGAAATCAGAATGAATTCTCCTCAGCATCCAGTTCAGAAGTCTTTCTCTGCTCAGCTGTTTCTAACCAATCAGATCTCTTGGAACAGCCTGTCACTCAAGGCTCTCTGGCTCTGTGAAGAATTCACAGTTCTTTATCTGTTTACACAGCACTTCTAAGCTTTTAAAAGAGCAATCCATCACATATGGCTATCCATAGGGATTCAAGCTAGGGCTGCCAACCTCCAGATGGGGCTTGGAGATCTCTTGGAACTACAACTGCTCTCCAGACCACAGAGATCAGTTACCCTGGAGAAAATCGCTGCTTTGGAGGACAGACTGTAAGGCATTACACCCGATGAGGTCCCTCCTCTGCCCTAACGCCACTCATTCCAGGATCCACATACACCCAATCTCCAGGAATTTCCTAACCCATAGTTGGCAACCCTAATTCAAGCATATTTAATGCATCAGTCATTAAACCCCACACTAGCCACTCATTATAAATGCAAATACAATCTGGTAATAACAGAAAACATCACAAACCAAGCAATTAAATAGCATTCTTATTTTACAGACAGGTAAACTGTGTTGCAAGGCAAAGTAATCTGCCCCAAATTGCCCAACTGATCACACTTTCTTTTTAAAGCTAATGATAACCAATAGTATCACTTTAAGGATCTTTCTTTAAATATTACAAATCATTGGAGGAGCAAAGAAGAGTTATTTTTCTACTGCATTTTAATCTCAAACTTCTTCCAAGGTGTTTTCCCTTCCCACTTTACCCTTGCAAAAACCCTGTGAGGTAAATTAAACTAACAGATTGTAACTAACCCAAAAGTCACTCAATAAACTTCAAGTCAGAGTGGAGATTTGAACCCATATCTCACAGAGCATAAGTCCAGCAGTCTAACTACAACACCATACCTGCTCTCTAAGTTATTAGCAACATATTCACTAACATATCGGAATACAATTACCTTGCTGGATCAGACCAAGATCCATGACCTAAGATCATGGACACAGAGTGTGCCAGTCTAGGGGAAGCCAAGGAGAGTTTGGCAATTTGGCTGGTGTACCAACTGCCCAGCGCACCATCCCTGATGGAGGCTGTGTTGGGATGGGCATTGGAACACCCTAGACTGATAGTCTGGGGGATTTCATTGTCCACGCTGACGATGTGACCTCCATGCAGGCAGCAGACCTAGTGTCATCCATGGTGGCACTGGGACTCTCCCAATATGCAACAACTCCTACCCACCAGGCTGGTCACACGCTCAATCTGATCTTTGTGGTAGGGTCACGGTGGACCGGATCACTGCCCAGGCAGTGCCATGGTCGGACCACCTTGACCTGAGGCCTTGTTTGAATGTTTCACCTCAACCCTGTTTGGGCAGTGAGCGTATTTTAGCTCGCCCATGGAGCCAAATGGACCCTGTGTGGCTTCAGATGCCTCTACGAGATCTGATGCCCCCTGATAATTCATTAGATGAGCTCGTAGAGGATTGACATAGCTGACTTTCTGCAGCCATCGACAAGATCGCTCCCTGACGCCCTCTGCACCCTTGCTCTAAGCTCGTACCTTGGTACACCGAGGAGTTGCGGCTGATGAAGCGAAGGCTAAGACGGCTAGAAAGGCAGTGGCGGCACGGTGGCAACGAGGCTACAAGAACATCTTATAGGACATTTATGAGATCCTATAAGATGGCAGTCAAAGGTGCGAAGAAAGAACACTATGCAGCTCCGATTGCGTCTGCGAGCTCACGCCCAACCCAATTGTTTATAACGATTCGGTCCATGACGACTCTGCCACAAGGCAGGTCAAACATTAGGGAATTGAATATTGGCTGTGAGGCCTTTGCGAGCTACTTTGCAGACAAATTCTTGTCGCTCCGGCATGACCGCCCCATCACAGTTGAGACAGTGAGCGAACTTGAGGCTCCATGCACATCTTTGAGTCAGGTTATGGATCATTTCAGTCCACTCAGTCTACAGGAAGTTGATAAATTGCTCCTAACTGTACACCCCACCACATGTCTCCTTGACCCATGCCCATCGTGGCTAGTGAAAGTTGGTCATGCTGGGTTTCAAGGTGCCCTAGGGGAGATTATCAACAAATCCCTCTTGGAGGGTCAGTTCCCTGGGACACTCAAGGAGGCTGTGGTCCGTCCCCTTGTTGTGGGCCAGTCTGCTTTAACTGAAGGGCACTCAGCTGATAACAGCCCCAGCAGCACCTCTGAGGCTCAGCCAGCTGATGCTGCTAATGACCCTGAGACAGCAGAGGCAGGT